AAACCAAACAAACAAACAAACAAAACAAAACAAAACAAAACAAAACAAACAAGCAAGTAAGCAAGCAAACAAACAAACACACACACAAACACACAAACACACAAACACACACAAACACACACACACAATTGAGCGGTGGTTGCAAAACACCCCTGTCGCTTGATGGTTTTTGTCAAGGATATTCGGGGATGATATTACCATTTACACATTGGGGATTATGATAACCCAGGGAATCCCTATGATTTAACCAACAAACATGAAATTCCCAGGCTGCTATAGGATTTCCCCAGTCTGGGATAGGATCAATCAGCCGGGGTATGATAAAACCAATCCAGAGAAACTCGGTTCTCTGGAGCTCTTATTGACGCTGCCGTACCCAATTGGAGAGCTTGACCCCTCCATAGTTTGCAAGCCCAATTATCCCGGCAAGAGACCCCGAACAGTGTGGGGGTGTGGGAGGATAATGTATGTTTTTTTTGCTGATTGTGATTCCCCACATCTTTGTGTGGGGTTGCTGTTTTTGATTCTGTATCCCGGCTCCTCCTCCTCCGCCTCCTCCTCTTCCGCCGCCTCCTCTTTGTCACACACCATCTTTCACACACAACTTTGTCACACACCATCTTTCACACACAACTTTGTCACACACCATATCTTTCACACACAACTTTGTCACAACCATCTTTCACACACTCTTTCACACACCATCTTTCACACACAACTTTGTCACACCATCTTTCACACACACAACTTTGTCACACACAACATCTTTTTTTACACACATCTTTGTCAACCACCATCTTGCACACACCATCTTTTCACACACAACTTTGTCACACACCATCTTTCACACACAACTTTGTCACACACCATATCTTTCACACACCATCTTTCACACACTCTTTCACGCACCATCTTTCACACACAACTTTGTTACACACCATCTTTACACACAACTTTGTCACACACCATCTTTTCACACACAACTTTGTCACACACCATCTTTCACACACAACTTTGTCACACACCATATCTTTCACACACAACTTTGTCACAAACCATCTTTCACACACTCTTTCACACACCATCTTTCACACACAACTTTGTCACACACCATCTTTTCACACACAACTTTGTCACTCACCATCTTTTACACACATCTTTGTCAACCACCATCTTTCACACACCATCTTTCACAACTTGGTGACTCTGCGTGACAGCGGCACTTTGCGTGGCAGGCGTAGCACTTGGCGACATCTACCTTCGTTTCGCCTGGCAGGCATGCTGCAGGTTGCACTTGGTGGCGCGCTTGGTCGCCGTTGGTCGCCGTTGGTCGCCGGTGACGCCGCGGCACTTTGAATGGCAGGCGTGGCACTTGGAGACATCTACCTTCGTTTTGCGTGGCATGCGTGCTACAGGTTGCACTTGGTGGCGCGCTTGGTCGCCGTTGGTCGCCGTTGGTCGCCGTTGGTCGCCGTTGGTCGCCGGTTACGCCGCGGCACTTTGCGTGGCAGGCGTGGAACTTGGCGACATCTATCTTCCTTTCACGTGGCAGGCGTGGCACTTGGCGACATCTATGTCCGTTTCACGTGGCAGGCGTGGCACTTGGCGACATCTACCTTCGTTTTGCGTGGCAGGCGTGCTACAGGTTACATCTTTGACACGCCATCCTTCACACCACTTTGTCACACACCATCTTTCACACACCACTTTGTCTCACATCACTTTGTCTCACACCATCTTTCACCACACCATCCTGTACACACCACTTTGTCACACACCATCTTTCGCCACACCATCTGTCACACACCATCTTTCACACACCATCTTTCGGCACACCACCTTTCACACACCACTTTGTCACACACCATCTTTGACACACCACCTTTCACCCAGCATCTTTGACACACCATCTTTCACACACAACTTTGTCACACGCTCTCTTTCGCACAGAACTTTCACCCACACCATCTTGGACACACTATCTTTCACACACCGCTTTGTCACCCGCCATCTTTGAGACACCATCCTTCACACCACTTTGTTACACACCATCTTTCACACACCATCTTTCACACCACTTTGTCACACACATACCATGTTTCACACACCGTCACAGACCATCTTTCACACACCATCTTTCACATACCACTTTGTCTCACACCATCTTTAACACACCTTCCTTCACACACCACTTTGTCACACACACCATCTTTCACCACACCATCTTTCACACACAACTTCGTCACCCACCATCTTTTTCCACACCATCTTTGACACACCTCTTTGTCACACACCACCTTTCGGCACACCATCTTTCACACACCACTTTGTCACACACCATCTTTCACACACAACTTTGTCATGCGCTCTCTTTCACATACACTTTCACACACACCATCTTTCACACACAACTTTGTCACACACACACACACACCATCTTTCTTTGTCACAGACCATCTTTCATATACAACTTTGCCACACACAACTTTGTCTTTCCTTCTTTCCCTGCCCCGCTACAACATTTGGTGCTTCTTATTGGAAGAAGTTGCCTTGTGGGGTTATCCGGTCCTTTAAGTATGATTATGAGGATGATGATGATGATAATGATGATGTTGTGGACGATGATGTTGAGGATGATGATGTCGAGGATGATGGGGTGCAGGAGGAAATGTTGAGGATGATGAAGTTAAGGATGATGTGGGTAAGGATGATGATGTTGAGGAGGATGAGGATGTACTGATGATAATGCGGAAGATGAAGTGGAGGATGATTATGTTGAGAAGGAGGCGGATGATGATGTTGAGGATGATAACGTGGAGGAGGATAATGAGAAGGATGATAATGTTGATGTTGCGGAAGATGAGGTGGAGGTTGATGATGTTGAGGATGGTGAGGCGCAGGATGATGATGTTGAGGATGATGAGGTGGAGTATGATGATATTGAGGATAATGATGCTGAAAGGGAGGACGACTCGGAAGATGGTGATGTTGAGGAGGATGATGAAAAGGATCATAATCTTGCGGAAGATGAGGTGGAGGATGTTGATGTTGCGGAAGATGAGGTGGAGGTTGATGATGTTGAGGATGGTGCGGTGCAGGATGATGATGTTGAGGATGCTGAGGTGGAGGATGATGATGTTGAGGGCGATGATGTTGAAAAGGAGGAAGATTCGGAAAATGATGTTGAGGAGGATGATGAAAAGAATGATAATGTTGCGGAGGATGAGGTGGAGGATGTTGATGTTGCGGAAGATGAGGTGGAGGTTGGTGATGTTGAGGATGATGATGCCAAGGGGGAGGAAGATGATGATGTTGAGACTGGTGATGTTGAGTAGGAGGAAGATGATGATGTTGAGGAGGAGGACCGATCCCAAGACCAGGGCCCACACTTTGTGCGATCATGCGTGGTCGAAATGCACATGGACATTTCACAAGAGGCACTTTACACGGAAATTTACAGGCAAAAGGCCGCAGACCAAGAGCAAGCAAAACTCACGGCCCAAACTTTGTGCGAGCCTGCGCAGTCGAAATTCACATGGACATGTAAGAAGAGCCATTTTATGCAGAAATTTACAGGGAAAATGCCGCGCCCCGGAGTGAGCACCTCGATCAAACACCGGCCTTTACCCTTACCGCAAGATCCCCTCAGTGTGGACACACTGTTTGGGGAAAAAGATAGAAAAGTCATGTCATGTCCTATAACTTGAATAGTGATAAATGACTTTTCATGACTTTTCTATTTGTCTGTGGAGGCTACTATACCCATAAAATCTGTAGATATATCATGATATATCAAACGTACCGAGGACCACTGCAACAGGCACGACCAAGTACTTATGTACACAGCATTTTTGAAAACACATCCCCATCATGACTGGAGATGGCCTCTACAACCCATAAATACATGGGGGCTTGGGGATGGTTTATGATGCTTTCTGAAAAGGGCTTTACCGCATTTCTAGCAGCCTCTAGATAAATCGGATAAACAAAAAGTGTTTCCAGAACTGGAAGGTAAAACCCAGCCCCCCAGCCCGGCTGCAAAAGCGCGGCTGCATCACGAGTGAGGAAACAGAGAATGCTGGAGTTCCAGGTTGGTTTGGACCCCACAAACATCACTATCTGGCTGATTTAGTGGAAAAATATGATTAATATGACATTATGAAACTAAAACTTACAAAGCCATATTTGAGACCTGCGGATATCAGGGGAAATCTAAGTGCACTAACTCAACGAGCCTTGGTCAGCCATGGAATTGGTCGAAACCGAATCACTGATGGCAGGATTCGTTGGCAAAAAGAATTCCAGTTGTTTTTAGGGTTCTGATTGGGGCCATGTTCATCGCCGCAGCCAGGATTTGAATCTGTAGTTCCTATTCATAAAATGAATATTCCCCAGAAGTATTCCGAGTCATCCATCTGGTTCCATCCAATGACATATGCGATGAACTATGACATATGCTAAGTAGCATCCCTCAAATTCACATAGACATAGAGCCTGCGTCTTCCATGGAAGATGAATGCAGATAAGTTTCCACTAAAAAATCTCGATTTTCAGGGCCTATCTGACTTCGGTGCAGGGCAGTACTCCGGCAGTTGCTGGTTCCATAACCTCCATAAGATGGGACATGGGCCCCCAGAACTATGCTGAAATCTAATCCCCTCACTCATGGAATTGCAGAAGTATGGTTGAAAGATACCAACCATTGACATCTATTAACATCTATGAACAATATTTAAAACCACCAATACTTCTTCCCAATCATTTCCCCATGATCTGAAAGCAGCTCCTGCTGAACTCCTCCTGGAACCCTGAGGCACTGCGGCCATGATTGTAGCTATAGTAACTACTAGTAGCTATTAGGTGGTTATATTAGTGGCGCTATAGAATGGTTATAGTTACTATTAGTGCTACTGGTACTTCCCTACAACTAAACGGGTAAACGGTTTAATTCACATCCCATTCCCCATTCGTCCCAATGATGGCCGAGCAAGGAATGGCGCACAAGGAATGGCAACGAGCAGGTCTGGGATCCGTCCAAACCTGAGGGAACGGTGGCTGAACTCATCCCATTGCGCTCACTGAAAACCAATCATCCCTCAGGTATGGTGGAGAATCATAAGATAACAATAAATATTAGATACGTCCAACTTTCAACCACTAGAAATGGTATAATTACACATAAAAGTAAAATATCAATGGGCGCAATGTTGGATATGAATGGGAACAAACTTCATGGAAATAACATGGGATACTAATGGGAATACTATGGAATTTAGCCAACCAATATGGTGATTCAGCCAACAATAAATGGATATATTGGACATAGGATGATAATGGGAATCTAGTGGGATATACTGGGATACATATATATATACTGGGTATATAATCCTCCTGCCATTCCAGTTTGTTCTGGACTTCAATCAGAGAATTACAGCCATCTTCGGGATAGATGGAAACATGAAATACATGGGGGTTAACCAACCATTTTTATGGGGATATGAGCAAGAACGCCGGGAAATTGGATCACAATGGGTATACGGTTTACAATGGGATATAGATGTATATAATATAATGTAATGTATGTAATGGGTATATAGCCAACAATATGATGTTGGCTGTTCGCTAGCTAGCTATCAAACTGTTACATTATTATCATTGGCTTTACACGATTACTAGATATCTACATGTCTAGCTATATAAATTTAGCTATAGCTACTTGTCTAGCGAGCTATTTGTATATCTAATTAGTTATCGTTCCTTGTATGTAAAGCTAGACAAATGTATATGGCAACCACAGGCAACCAAAGATAAGGAACATGAAAACCCGGAAATATGGGGTAAAGATAGTAAAGATCATCCCTGACATCTCGGATGTGTGTGGGTATTTTTCTACGTCTATGTCATATTGGAGTTCCTTCAAACAGCTGTTTATGTACATCATATATTTGTAATTATTTGTATATGTCAGCGCATTAGTATGTGTAAAAAAAGAAGCTGTAGCTGATTAGGTGTATGTGTATATTTAGGTACACTGCTGAATGCTCTGGAAAAAAAACAAAGCCAGTAGATATCCGCGAGCTGAGTTGTTGTGCCAGGAAATTCGTGCTTTCCCTATGTGTTCATCATGTTGTCGTGGTCAAGGCATGGTATGCCCATCTTACTGAGAATCCTTCTGTTGGCCATGATCGATCCCTCTTGATGATGGCACGACCATCTCCGAACTACTGTAATGGATTAATCACTTCCAACGTTTGACCATGGCACATGTTGTCATCAGTTCTCGGGACATTTTCGCTTGGGGCTTGGATTTGCTTGCGGAGGTCTTCACAGAGTCAACATATTCCAAAGAGTTCTGAGTGGTGGTGAGGTTTCCTAAACTATGTAGGGATACCATTTACCCGAATCTTCCAAGTTATGGATGACCATGACTTAGCATAGGTCAACCCATGGTGGTTTGGGGGTCCCCCCACTGAATCAGCAAATCCATCCACAGCCGAACTGTGCTCCCCTGCGCTTACTTGCTTGTCGCGATTGTAAAAGAACCGTTGACCTATCAGGTTTCTGATAAATCAAAGGGTTTAGGATAGGTTTAGGGTGTGTCTACGATGGATTCAAGATTGACTTAATTCATTTTTTTGGTGAGAATCAATGGGTTGATTTCATTTTCGGTCATACTCTATTTTCCTCTTCCATCTATATATGCGGGGCCAATAGATCCTTTTTCGAATAGTCACCCAAAGCATCGCTTGAGCATACCCTCACCATCAAGGTACCCATGCAAGCGGGCAAGAGCTATACGCAATTGAGAATATGACCATAATTATTTATGGGTATAGTATATTATCTTGGTATATCTTGGTGGTGTTCTGATGCCCTCCTTAAAAAAAAACATGGTGGGGTTTGTGTGGATCAAAATCCATCTGAGGCCCCGAAAGAACAGAAATCAAGCTGTGTATGCGGATCTAATCCATCTCATCCAGTGAAGTGTCTAGGTAGACCTCAAACATGCAGGACATCATTTCAAGACCATTTTTTGGATTGTTAAACCATATATTGAACCACCATCCTTGATGGTCAAACCCCGATTTTCATCAGGAAAACCCTACCCTATCCATCCCCTGTTCTGCCCCTCGCCTCCCTCGTCGGTGTGTTCAGACCACGCCTCCAGGATTTTCTGTAACGCAACCTTTGGTTTTTTAACATAGCTATGGTATAGATAGCTCATTAACAGATAATTCAAATCATTTTAACGTGTGATTTTCCATAGCTACTTTAAACATCGTTAAATTACCAAAGGGCAATCCCAACAGAAACGGTGTATAGACCAAGACGAACATACATAACAATTTTACCAACCAACAATGGTGAATTAACGAAGATAAATGATGTCCATCCCCTGTACCGAAGTTCTAAATTGTGTGTTCACTTTTACCGGCGCCTGTCTTTGATGTGTTTTTTTGACAAAATGGTGAATTTGGATGAATTTGGAGTGTGTCAATGGATGTAAGTGCTGTTTATAGAGAGGGTAACGGTGATTTAAGCATCAACAATTGGGATTCCTACAAAAAAAGCGCGCGTCAATCTGTACGAGCCCCCAGCGCAAAGACTTCCATTGGTTATATTGGTTGTTGCTGGTAAATCCCCTTTGTACAAAAATCGTTGTGGAAGTCTTGCTCCTTTCGATGTTCACGAGCAAGACTCCTCTAGCGATACTCTACTACTCTGCAGGCAGAGATCAAGGCTTCCCGGGGCACGGAAGAGCGTAGCCGTAGGCAGAAGGAAGCAGTGCCGAAACAATTAGTATTATGTAGTATTGGGGTATCCAGTGGGAATTATCGTTTCTTCCTAGTAGAAATGGTGGTGTTATCATCAAACATAGGGGGTCAACATGGGGTAACATGGCGTAAAAAAACGTGTTGGTTTGCCGAGGAATTTGAAATTGTTAATATCCTTAATCGTACAAAAAGACTACCGTAGTAATAGCCAATGTTTATATACATCACATGCTAATACAACTATGGTCTAAATTAACCAACATGTGCACTTTCGAGGTCATTTAATTTTGACACATGATGGCCAACAATTTTACACCCTCTAACTACCCATGCAAAATACCCAAACAAAAGGGTAACATATTTGTTTGCTTGCTGGGGTCCAGGGATGGTATTGTTCATAGCCCCCAAGTTGATTCCTTGTATCTTTAGCGAAACCGATGATTTTCATAATGTTGAGAGGGATGAAGCACCGATACCAAGTTTTTATATAACTATTTGCTGGACCCATTTTCAGCCCGAAAACTATATTGTATATACATAGTTACATAATATGTATACCAGATTGTTTTCACTATTCCTTCAAGATTTCCAAGATTTCCCCAGTTCCATTGGATCCATGTTGGAAGATAAACAGGGGAAACTCCACGTTGCCTGTAGTTCCTTGATGGAGTCTCGTTCTGCCTCGTCACACCTGATGAGCGACGTTACGTGAAGTGTGCGACAGAAATCGCCATGAAATTTTTGGGAATAACCATGGTTTATGGTAGATATAGTTAATAAATGGCTAAGAAATCCTTGGCCTATCAGCTGGCATATGGTACCATCCGAAGAACCAATCACCGTTTACGAAATCGCTAATTTGGCTCAGACAATTCCAGTAACTATGGTTTATGGATGTTTATGGTAGACATATCGAACTAGTTCATGGGGTTTACGAACCGACAAACATAGGGGGGTGGCACCATGTTGTACCCTGCGGCAATCAAAGAGTTTCATGTGAAAATAGTTTTTCGTACCACCCGGGAAGAAATTTAAGACGTGCACCAGAAAAAATGTTGATGTGAAGCTGCAATACCCTCCAATACTCAAACATTGCTATGGGCAATGGTTCGTTTTGTCATTACAATATATTGTACTCATGTTTTAATGTATTTGAATAGGAACAAGGATGATTAACCCGGGTCCCTCATTTGACCAAGCCGTAGGTTGCAGTGCAAGCAGAGAATGGTGCAGCAGTACTGCCATGGTGAAATAGAGTGAAAGGAACATCACCGTGACTTACCTCTCCTTGTTACTAGAAAAAGTACCTATAACCTTTGATGGGTTGGACATCCCACTCTTGTTGCTGCCTCTATGCTGGGGTATTGATCCAATAGAGCAGTACTTGGTGGAGACAGGGATTCCCAATCTGATGCACAATGATAACCCCCAATAAATGAGCGGGGGCCAAAACCAAGGGTCACAAAGGCGGTCATGGAAAAAAGGTATCGATTTTGTCGTTCGCTATATCGATTTACATGGTTCCATTCATCTCCACATCAACAATAGGGGCGCTTGATGGTCAGCAGTCTGCCGTCCACTGTTTGTCTTCAAAGCGCGGAAGGAATTTTCCTCAGACGAGTTTGGTTTTTGCACTGTCGCGTGCCTTCTGCAGATTCTGTTCATCTCTTTGGATCAAAGTTTTGTTCAATGGTAGGTTTCAAGGCCAGGCTGGACGGCCCCAAGTAGATGTTTCAAGACATTGATGCGAAATTGAAGTGCGCCACTCCAGGGATGGATTGGGACTCTGGCTGTTCTGGTTATCGCTACGTTATCGCGATTTGGTTATCGATAATTTCACCTGGTAAAATCGAAATATGTGAAAGACTGTTTCTCAAGCACAGTCTCTGCTTTCCAGAGCCTGCGTCCTGACAGGTTTTGGCAGCAAGTTCTGTGGTCAGAAGTGCGTACTCTAGTCCTTTTGGGAGCACCTCTAGGCCTTTGGGGAGCTCCTGGATTCACATCCGACGAATACTAAAACAATGGATATACAAACCCAAATGGTTGCGAAAAACAACAACACCTTTCAACTTCACCATCAAATCATGTGGTCGCTTTAAGTAGTTCACCATATTGCTGTCCATGGTTTGGGCAGCATTTTCCACCATATGACCTGTCATGTAAAGGTTTCTGCACCATATGCTCACATGGTAGTATAACCCTCGAAAAAAACCTCAACCAAAAGTGGTATTGAACACTGCCCAATAAGATCCTCTAATTGGGGATGCTGCGGTAAACATCGGTAAACTCCAATCAACCTGTCCCCCAAGAGGGTCACTTCCTCAGCTGAGGATTTGGAAATACCTCGCTACTGGACGAAGCCAAAAGGTCACAGCCCTCCAACTGATGAGTTATACGGATGCATAGGCTTTTTCAAATGTGCCGGCATCCATAGAGGCCGCATCAGCCTGCCACAAATGAACAGCTATGACTCCAACAGGCTCAGGAGCGATGGAGCAAGCCGAGGCTGACAATGCCACGCCACGATGTTTTATGGATGTTTATGATTGTTTATGGGCTGGAGACTTTGAATTTGTTGCCAGAAAACACTCTGCACATGAAGTGATTCAAGCATTTTTAGCCAATTGAAGCCTTTTAGCCGCTTTTAGCCCTTTATAATCATCACTATTCTTGGTTAAACATGGTGACACCGATATTTCATGGTTGTCACAAGTTGTCACGGCTTCACCCCAGACATTTCCACTCCAAAAACTCGAGGCCCCCGACTTCCTTTTCAACCTGTCGATCTCTCCAATCTGATCCTGCCACCCCATGGCTATGGGCTTGATGTGACTTTCCCATGGCTTTAGTAGGGGTGTATACATGGGATCTAATTTCGTATAGATATTGGTCTAGCATTGAGTTTCAAACTGGGTTGAACTGCACAAAATATAGGTCAAACTTGGGCTTGCATCGGTTTAATGTGCCTTTGTGGGGTTTGGATTTGACACTGAATTATACAGTGAATAATATATACGGAATCATGTGGGTCTAATGAGACAATGCTGTCATGGTTTTTAAACGGGATAAGCTAATAGATATCTAAGCATGTTGCTTTGCGGTTGTTCAAATTCCTCTGTTTGCGTTCGGTAGCGAGGTTACCATCCTTCAGCATGCAACTTGGACACCCTGGACACCCAGCACCAGTGGGTCCCCCTCAAAAACAACTCATTTATGGATGATGGTGTCCCCCGTTCTTTGAACAGCCCCCCATGTAGTACATTGTAGTACTAAAAGTTATTTCATAACAATAGAAACCATAATGATCGGAATGTGATCAACTATATAATGATATCAAAACAACAGCACCATATGATGACCATCATCCAATAGAGGGCAACCGAAGACTGTCCTCCTTGGAAATATCACCAGATCGGAAGTGCACGATGGCTTTGTACCTGGATCCCCCGTGTGTCCAGGTCGAAGAACACTGACCCAATGAATTGTCTAGCTATGACTGGTGCAAGCTAACTTGAGAAAATATGTGCCAGGGTCAAGTTACATGATATATATATATATATATATGTATTATGATATATATATATATGTATTATGATATATATATAATATTATATATATATAATATTATGTATATATATATATATTATGGTATATATATAATATTATATATAGATATATATGTATTATGAAATATATATGTATATATATATTTATATGTACATAATATATAATATATAATATATATATATATATTATGATATATATATATTGATATATATGTAATACTATATATATATATTACGTTGTGGTTTATGGTCATCCATCTCAGATTGAGAACCCTCATGATGAGTATACAAACCCCATAATCCAAAAGCCACAATTTACACACAAAACAAATCGCGAATAGTTTGAATGATCAACATGTCTTAACTGTTTAACTAGAACTTTACCCTCTGGTTATTTGCTGCATAGCCATTGAAGCCATGGCCCATTTAGTTCGTTGATTTACCTATAAGAAATGGTGATTTTCCATAGCAAGCTGTTAGTTTACCAGAGGGTACCACATATTATATCATATTAAATCTATAATTAATATAATTTAAGTGTGATTTTAGGATATTTAACTGCTTAACTATAATATACTATAATTAATATCTACATATTGTATAAACATATGGGTGTTTCCTCTTTCTTCACAGCAAATACACGGTGAGTTTTTACCATGTTTCTATCCCAGTTCCACGAGGTCTAGGACATCCGACATCACCAGTCTTGGAATGGTTTACTTGGTGAATATAGCTGCAATAGCTATGGTTTATAATACTTGCTTATAGATAGTTTATAACTGCAATAAGTATGATTTATGATACGCAAATAACCATAGTGTCCACGAGGTTTAAAAACCAACTTATAATGCTTAGGTGCCCCACCTTTTAGTTCCATGGTGACATTTTGGGAAAAATCGGTTGACAGCAATTGTTTCTTCGGGATGATGTGTCCTGCACGAAACAACGACTGAAGCCCATTTCCGTCTATCAGCTTCATGGTGGTAGTGGAAAATCATCTATAATCTCTATACTGGAAATGAAAATTTTATATAATTTTTCCATTGACATGTTTAATTACCAGAGGGTACTTCATTGTTACTTCTTGTCTGCAAGCCTTGGATTTGCTTCGGGAAAGCATGCCAAAACAGCAGCGATGGGTCACATTTCATCTCCCCATTGCCATGAACCGTCCCAGGAACCAACCATGAGGTGTCAAAACAAGCACCATCTCTATGTGAGGGGTATCAATAATAACACCTCCATCAAAGAGATGGTTTACGTTCACTTGAATTGATACCCTAAGCACACATGTGTGGTTCATCAGATCCCGAACTGGAGGTGTTTTCATACATCAAGCGAGTATTAGGCCATCCAAAACCTCTCCACTTCGCCCGGAAATGAAGCTGCAGGGCCTCCCACTTGTGCAGGACGGAATCAGATGGAATCAGTGGATTGGTTTACCCACATGTAAACTATATAAAAATGGCTGGAAATATTATGAAATATTCCAATCTGTAAGACATCCAACAAATAGCAACTGGTTTACAACTTTACGACACTTTAATACAATCCCTTTTAAATACCGGGTTGTTTCTGACATCGCTCTGGCACCTCTCCGGTTTCGGGAGCCTGGGGGGCACGTATCCCTATGAAGCTGTTCCAACGGATGCGTCCAAGAACTTGCGTGGGTCTGCACGTTGTAATAGAAGACTCGATCCGCACTGGCGGGAGGACGTGGGATTTTTCAGTTTGAGGTGATGTCCATGGGATTCCATGGGATTTCCACAATTGATATATAATGGGACGGATTATATATATATATCATATTATATATAATATATATATATAAATGGGAATAGTGCAGATTTCCCGGGGACTTTATGGCAATCACAAACTATAGCAGTGGGATGATATGATTATTGGATTATATAAAAGGGAATGATATGGGATAGTAATACATAGTAATTGGAAATCACCAAGAAGAAGAAATGAGAAAAAAAACACGGAGAATCTATGAATCCATCAATATCGGGATATTCGGTGATATCATGGTTGGAGGATCATCTCGCGTGTGGTAAGTAGGTATATATAATCACCATGGATGACAAGTCCCTTTAATGGTTTTATCACATTTGGACATCTTTAGGAGGGGAAAACACCATTACGCCCCATATTGGAAAGGGGAATTAACACTGCCAATCTTAGGTACGATTCAGCACAAGATATGTTTTCCCACACAGCGATGTGGGGAAACAAAAAAACGCGCACTATCCCCACAGGATGGTGACCCCCCAGTGATGTTTGCTGATTTTAAACCCCCATTAACATCAGTAACTAGTTCTATAATGTTCTATATATGTACCATAATTGTACCATAAACCCAAGTTATTGGACTTGTAAACTAACTTAAGTAACTATGGGGCACCACCTTGCATGTTTGACACGGACAATGAAATGAAAACAGGAGGCCATATTGCACTGCAACCATTTCAATAGCTTCAGGTCTCCATTTTCTCGATGGATCATTGACGGCGCCACAGCTCTGATGAGGTTGCAGGATGTTGCAACATGTTGTCATCGGCAAGGTTTGCTCTTCGTGGGAAGAACAAGTCAAACCCGTCCATGAATCACGCCAAGGTCAAACTTGGCCTTGAACTTCACGTCGAGGTCCCTTCCCCTGAGAATCTTCACCAAGTAGCCCAATACCACCAATGCATTGAACCTGTGTAGCAGCGGCGGGCTCGCCGTGAGAGCGCCGGACATGTCAGGGAAGAAGTTCACCCAGCAAACTTCGCCGCCTTGTCCAACAAGGCAGGTTCCTGCAAGCCAAAAGCCAAAGTCCTGGAAACTGATTGCCTGCGACCCTGCAAAACGGAAATTCCAACCACGCGCACGGGAGCCCGTCACATTAGCTAGCAGCAACGTGAGGCTTAGAATGCTTAGAACATCAAAGCACTGCAAACATTTCCGCGTCCAGGTCTCTCTTCCCGTAGTCCCGCAACAGATCACAACGGGCATGGCGGCATGACTGCAGTTCTTCGTTTCCCCGGGCAACACTAGCTGTTGCCACACCGACGACGTCGTGCAGCTGCCATCAGGATTCCTCGCCCCCGTGGCCTTTCTTCAGCGAGAGTTATGCCAGGAAAAAAGTGTCGCGAAGATAACAGTACCTCAGTACCTCATATTCATTCCTATCACCCGAATATAATACCTCCAACAAGTGGCCTAGTACTAGTACTGGTTTCTATTGAGCAATTAGTTGGCTGAGTTTGCTTGGTCGTAGAATTGGACCCATGCAGGTTCTATCCCGATGTTCATTATCATCCTCTAATACCATTGCTGAAACAAACTATATTATGTTCATTACCGCAATACACCAGCAATGGTACCTAGAAATGGACAATTCCAATGTTTGAACACATACATTTTCATCAGAACAATTAGGATTTCAACATTTCCACGTTAGATGAGTGTGTGAAAACAACATTTCCACGTTAGATGAGTGTGTGAAAACACACGATATCTGCATAATTCCATGGCAGAGTTTGGTCATCATGTTCCCAGCACAATGGCGAAATATGCATCGGCTCGTTACTCCCAAGGTTCGCAAAAGCTGCAACTAAATAGTAGTTTTTTTTGTACATCTAACCTCAGTAACACAAGAAAAATCTGGCTCTTTAATTTACCCTCTGGTAATTTAACATAGCTATTGAAAATGGCCATTTATAGTGAGTTTTCCCATTAAAAATGGTGGATCTTTCCATAGTTTCGTTAAATTACCAGAGGGTAACCATATTTAACCCAAAAAGCACAACGAACTATCGGCCGTGGCTGGGTCCCACTCAATGCCATAGTCCTCCGAACGGCTTGATCCATAAAAAACACCGTTTTGATGGAAACAACGTTGTAAGCATCAACGGATTGGTTTACGGAACAATCTGGCAAACAACCCTCTTAACTTATGGCAAAAAACCGTGGTTTCCGGTCAAGATGTTCCCTTTAAACAATCCATTGATAACACTAAAAATATGTATTGAAAAATCTACCCACCGGCCTCTGGTAATCAAACATGGTTTGCTGAAAAATCATGCACAGATTATATTCCAATTGAACCTCCATCGCAGATCTATATATATACATATTCATTATATATACCCATTATAACCCCCATTCTTACTAGTTCAACCACGATTCTCGTTGGCAAAAAACAACTCTAATCCATCCAGGTTCAAAATTCTTGCACGCTGCGCCTATCGTGGTGCTCCGTCCATTCAGAGGGGAGAGGAGCCGCTAAGGCCTAACGTTTCGGTTCGGTTTTCTCTGTGGTCAAGACCCAACTTATAACTATGGGGATCACCCTTCAACCACTTAGGGATGATGAGATCGCGATGTGAAGTCCTGATCTTTTCGAAGAACGGGAATGTAGCTAGTATTAAAATGTGGCACTGCCCAAAAAGATAGAAACACACATGCTAAAATAAATCTTCATTGTTTTTGGGGTTGCTAATACAGTGGCATGATAAGTCTGAGTGGTTTACAGTCTCTTGTCTGTGAGGTGGCGGCTAATCCATCCCTCATAAGTTCAGGTCCACTCCCAGGGTCCCAGCTTGGCGGCTGCACAATGCCAAAACCAATGATTCTGGGTAAATTATAATATTTCACTAACCTGAATTAAGGCCATTTTGGGATGATTTCCCTTATTAACCATGATTCCAGTGAGGTCGCAGTGAGGTCGTTATAATTTACCCAGAATAATGATAAAACATGGATTCATACTGAGAGGCCTACTACATGGTGGAATCATTATGTATCATACGGAGGTTTCCTAAGTCATGGGGGTACCCCTAAATCATCCATTTATAGATGGATTTTCCATTACAAACTTACAAACCAAACATGTTTGGGATCCCACATTTATGGAAACCCCCAATATATAATTTCCGGTTGAATGCCCAATGAACCAAAGCTGTCTTGGGGATTGGGTTCCATTGGGTACCTTCTGGACCTCTTCAACAGGCTTACTCCCAACAAACAGATTCATGACATGACACATACATGACATACTGTGGATGGTTGCGGTTTTACCTGCACCATCTTGGATGGTTTTTCACCCCATCAATGGGAAAATTCCCAGCTATCAACTGGTGATTTCCGCACCTCATCCGCGATCCACATGAGATCGCCATCCGTGATGGGATCGATCCCCAAGTACCTGGCGAACATGGCGAACTGGAAGGCCCCTAGATTTCACATGGATCGGAAAACATGCCATATCCAAAAAGGAACAACAAACATATTACAAAGGCATGAGTTAAGGAGGTTTGGTGGGTGTATCTTATTGAGCCAGTTGATCATTGAGATAGGGGCCAACTGAACTCACTTGAGATCTTTGGAGCTAACAATGTTGGGCTTTGTCATTCAACCGCTGGCTAGCGCTTGTTGAAGTATCTGTGGTTCCCCATGGTTCCCCATGGTTCCTGCTGTGGCCCTTATCCAAATCAGATCTGCTGACACGATGGTTAACATGTTTTCACCTTATGATGATTCTTCATCTTACTGTTGCTAAACATAGGGATCTTTTTAGGAATTATCCAAGACACAACTATCAATCAATATCCCATTCATTCCCATACGCCCGTTCCCTACTTACTTAGCACCAGTAAGTCATGTCTGGGGACGGGTCAAAACCTATGAAATTACCATGTTTGAGGGAATGTTAAAATCAATTAACCAGCTGTTGTAGGGTACTTATAGGATCTTATAGGGTCCCAGGGTTTTGGCTCACAGCCTCGTAGGCCAATATAGGCTAATAATGGTTGTTTTTTTCGGATATGAATAATGGTTAATCATGGTTAATCATGGTTAATCCATCATGGTTATTAACAATACATAATAATAATAATAACAATAATAATAATACCCTCTGGTAATTTGTTACATAGCTATTGAAAATCACCATTTATAGTGGATTTACCCATTGATAGCATGGTGATTTTCCATATCTATGTTAGTTTACCAGAGGGTAATCATAATAACAATAAGAAGAAGACTGGCAGATCCGCCGACGACGCCCGCCTGGCATAGGCGATGAGTTCCGGCTTCGTCGGCTCCAAGCCCCGCTCGCGGTAACGCTTGGTACGGGCCACCTGGGATTTCATGGGAGAATTGGAGAGAAACCAACAAACATGGGATGAAAACCAGGAAAAACATGTAGATTTCATCGAGAACACATAGTTTAATCGACAAACCATTGGGTTTTACATGGTCTTGCAAGCAAACATGGAGATCTAACACGCACAAATGCGAAAAATGAATCAAACAAACTCGGGGTTTAACCAACAGACATGGGTTTAACGAACGAAATATGTGGTTGAAACAACGATCTGTTGGTGTTGAAAGGAGCAGTTTACTGGAGATTTAACAAGCAGCTGAGTCGTGGTTTAAGCAACCACCATGTCGGTTTACTGGAAAGCATATCTCAAACGAGTCCAATATTCTAGATATTGAGTGGATATTAAATTGATAAACAAACATGTTCGCATGATACACTGATAGAAATTCTGGATGAACTGCTAACCTTCAAATTGCTGACCTGATGCCCTCTGGTAATTTAAGAGTAACATAGCTATTGCTTTTAAAAAAAAAAATAGGTATATAAATAATTTATAAATGGGATTAAATGGGCATGTTCCATAGCTATGTCGAATTACTAGAGGGTACTTCAAGATTTGTTCAAGTAAGTAAGCCTTCAAACTTTCATATGGCTGGGAAACCCAATTCGTAGCTCCAACTGGCTCCCCCAAGCTTGATAGGGAATATGGATACAACCATAGCTCCGAAGCAGCAGTGAGCTAATTGCTACCTGCAATGAGGTGTACATTGTAACCCATCATTTCCCTATATCAAGCAGGATTCACTTGGTCGTAGAAATCTCCAGTATCGGAGTCGGCACATCGCTTGATCAATGTTCAATGACCCACTGCTGCGAAGTTTGGGTATTTCACATCATCCTCAATCATCCAGTATCATAAGCGATCATCATGTATCAATGATATGTTTATATGATACTTAAAATCGAAATAAAAACCTCTAAAGAAAAAATGAATTGATGGTTGAATCCTGAAATTCCAATTCAGAACCAATCAACAAGGCTACCTTTTAATGGCTCACATTGCCCGCCATTGTTACACCGAAGGGTCACCATTCACCGTGCACAAAAAAACATCCCCTGTCCAACAACTGTCCCGCTGGGCGTTTCGTGCAAACTCATTGACGGTGAGCGCACCTTTACCTGCCCCAACAAGTCATTGGGAGGAGGATCTATTGTAGATATTACAATATTAAATTGGTATATCAATATCCTAATGTCTTCATTTACCACATTGTAGATATTGAATATATTGGGATATTCTGATGACAAACATGAATAGTTACTGGAATGAACAAATGTGTACAAGTGTGAAAGAAATCTGATTGTAGATATTGGGGATGGGTCGAAACCTACATCTATTACCATATTAGACTTAGTAGAGGGGGATGAACATCTCTCAGCTGGATGTTCACTGGGGGGGTTTTGATTCACAACTATATGTTTAGATAGGTTTGAATATTTTTAGGGAGTTCGGAAGTGAATGTTCCCATGTTTGCCTACAAGTTTGACGATTCTTGCCAATTCTCAAACGTAAAGTGGAGAATGTGCCTACAAGTTTGACGATTCTTGCCAATTCTCAAGCCTAAAGTGAAGAACCAAGAACAAACCTGAAATCGGTATGTAATGGTATGTATCTAGTCGATGGTATACTCCAAATTTCCGACATGGAACCCAAGACATATGATTTTTGGTAGGAACAGCATCCACCCAACCCATTGCTTCCAAACCCATTTGTTGGATTTCAGGAGTTTCTAGCCCTGCTGTTCCAACCCACACGTTGATGGCTAAGATATTGACACCTTGGAGCCTCGGGGTCCATGATCATCCCAAATCATTTCAGCACCAAATGTGGGATCCCAACATGTTACATATCCACCACATTCCATCAGCGTTTCTGGGGTGGTCTTGTCTAGAAATGGTCAAAGCCACCATTAAGATCCACTAAGTATCATATCTATGACCCGCTGAATAAATGTATCTGGCTCAAACAAAAATACCCATGGAAATACAAGTGGCAGGTCATTTTGAGGACTAAACCGTCCAATCTTTTGGGGCAAAAAATTTAAACTGTGGAGAAAGGGGGGTTGAACCACCCAACTCAAGATCCAAACCTGTCATATCCTGAGAGTTGCCCACAACAAACCCCCATTTTATCAAAACATAGGGGTGACGCGCTATGAGACTCCATCAACCAGGATCAACCAGCTGAATTTCTTTCAACACACCAAAAAAACAAAATATCACCCACAAAAGCTTGCAAAGATTTGACCTACGGCCTACCTGGTCCTGTAAAATAAGTTTATCTCTTCTGGAATATGACATGCCTCTAACTGCGGCGGAACTAGGTGCCATGAAATTAAAGACCAACCGTTCACCAAGGGTTAGGTAGCACACACCACTTTCATGAAGTTCCAGTTCCATCTTTTCAAACATTTTTTCTGTATTTCTATATATTCAACTAAAGTGTAGCCAGGAACCATGAAATCTTTCTAAACTTTAACTTATAAACAACTTGTTCCTTCTTATCCCTTGTGAATTTTTCCAGGATGCGGTATTCCCAGTGCGACTTGCGAATCATGACTGGGTTGTGAAGTCCCTTGTTGGAAAAACATAATTAATGGAAATCCAGGTGTTGGTCTTCCATTGACCAAAGTTTGATCCTTGGAAAAAGTCCCAGAAAATTTCCATTCTCATTGTAAATCCCCAAAAAAGGTAGTACAATCTACAGTTGCATTGGATTCCTCCGTGCAAACATAGCAACCCCAAACAACCTCACTATAGTAGTGATGGTTAGTAAAAGGAATCGGGATCTTGCCGGAAGATTGCCCATCTACAAGGTGGCAAAGGTGGTATGTAAACCCCATTATATAACTATAGTATAGTATATATATATCTATGTATATCTAATCATACACCCTATGGTAGGTCCATGTTGACCAACTTAGCGAACAAACTCGGACACCACCTGGCTACCTTGCCAAAAATTGCATGTGGAGATATCGAGCTAAGTTGGTGAACATAACTGATAAAACTGTTGGTACATATAACTTATTGACTTGCAAGTTGGTTCATAAACCCATGAACAAATGAAAAAGTCACTGGCATTTACAAAGCAATATATACATATACATCACTGGGGAGCACCACGTGGTCCCGAAGTTGGCCTTTAAAATTTGTCAAGTCCCACCATTGTTCGTTTCCCATTGATTCTCAGCACGAGATCCTTGCCACAAATCATTGTTTTTTGCTTCTCCCACATATTGTTTGGCGCTTTCATCTTTTTTTTACGTGTTTTTTTCCACAGAAAACGACCAGAGAACTTTCAGAAATCCAGACCTTGACCTTCTTGGCGGCATTTTTTTCAGCATCAGGACAACCATCCAATGGTTTCTTGGTTCTCTGGGTTGTTGAGTGATAAACTTTGGAAACCATGGAACCAATAGAAAGCCAGGTCGATGGATCTATGGCTAGTCTCAGGCTTTCATCTCACAGAAAGGATACAACCAGGTCTGACCCAAAAATTGGGAAGTATCAAATCATCTTGACTCACCTATTCACCAAACTTGAGGCTAAGATTATGGGGATGGTTCAAAACCTAAATAATTATTACCATTTAGTGGGGTTGAATCAACATCAATAAATCCCAGCTATGACTTCTACCATTCAACAGCCATGAAAACTATAGCCATTTAACATCCATTCACCATCCATTCACCAAACATTGGTCACTTCCCCCCCGGATCCACCCCCGGCAAACATCAACGGCCTCCTCCGCGAGTTTCGCCTGCGCCTCCTTTAGAGCCGCTGCGGGCGCTGCTTTCGGCCTGACCGATGGGATTTCAGCCACCAGAAATGGGGAACGTTGGACCAACCAAAATGGTGATTCTTCAGTCACCAAAATGCGCTTTTAGGGTAAGAAAAATGGGGTGATTCTTGTCATTCACCAAAATTTAGTGGTATAATATACCCTCTGGTAATGTAACAGTTTGCTATTGAAAATGGCCCATCTATAGTGGATTTACCCCTTGAAAATGGTGATTTTCCATAGTTATGTAAACGCTTACCAGAGGGTAACACGGTGGTTTTTTCGGCAAGCTGGGTGACCAACTGTGACCGAGACGCCATCTCCGATCTCCGGATGGCATGACATCGGTCTGTCAAGTCGGACAGTAACTGTGTCCTTTCTGAAAATTCAGGGCATATCCCAAATTGGTTTGTGCTTAAAATACCGGAAAACCCAGCAATCGAATGGGGATGGGATAAGAATATGATAATTGTCTAAGTTTGACTGATATGTCAAATGTGGTAAACCCAACAATAAAACCTCCTACATTGTTGATGGTTTATGCAACTAAACATTGGGGATGGTTGCATCATTTAAGATTAACCGAACCAAACTAAATCATAGAACTGGCAGCCCATAACTTGAAGAACTGCTGGATATCATATATTTATAACGTTCATGATGGAATTTCAGGGATTTCAAACGATACTAACGGGATATCCAAGGATTTGTTCTCTTCCAGAATCACTTGTTGCCACTGTGGATATTTCCCCTGCTCATCCATTAACTATAGACATATACCCTGTCCCTGTCTTTGGTTGCTCATCTCCTCATCATCTCGCAACTTGGCCAGGTGAAGGCTTATTTAGGCATCATTTCAAGTGATGTCTATAGTAACCCCCATAAAGATAGAAAAGTAATTCATCACTATTTTAGTGGGATTTTACTGGGATTTTACTGTTCTATCTTTTTGGGAAGTTAGTATCAACATATTAACCCCAAAAAACTGACGGATTCCCAACAGATCCTTTTTTCAGAACACAAATCGTCGGGACTTTCAGTTTCACCCCTTGGTGAAACTCACAATCCGTGTATCCCGCCCGCCCCAAAAAAAAGAGAGCCCAAAGGATAGAGAAGTTGGAGTACATAACTCATATTTCACTAGGGTATTCGTAATTCTATATGGTATTCTTGGGTAGTTGTTTTATAACACGTGTTTTTTGTTATAACTGGTATAGCTGTTGGATTTATGCGAACTAGAACGAACTCGCACTCATGGCTTTATCAATCAACTTCCCCATCACGGGTTTCTCATCATGTTCCCATTAAGTTGATGCTCAAAATCAAGTGAACATCCAATGTTGATGTATTGTTGAATATATCCCCTATATATCCCCACTAATCCATGTCCAAAATCTTAGACTCCCCGATCCAGTCTTTTTTTCGCCAGTAATATTGATGCTTAACCCACCATCTGATACCCAAACAGTTTAATCTTCAAGAGATGGTCGCATGATATTCCCCATGATATTCCCATTCTGTTTTTCAGTAACCCCTCTGATGAAGTTAACACTTTGCAATGGAAGAGGACCATTAAAAAAGATAAATCATGATACTGTAAAGCAATGTAAAGCATCTATAAATGGGCCATCTATAACTGTCAAAAAGCATAGTACTATGAAAAAACACAGAAAAATCATAGCAAACTATCAAATAGCCGGAGACTGTCAATTCCCACCTTGGAAGAAGATTTCTCTGGAGACTCCGTCGACGCCTGCAGCATTCTTGCACAAAAATCCCTTTCCCCCCTAAGAAACATGCAAGGTGAAGCATCAACATGGGAGTTTAACATGGTTTAATCAGTTTAATCATCCTGGAAAAAGGATGAAAAAGGGATATATCATGATTTTTTGCTGCCAATATATATAACATGAAATACCACTATTCCACACCCTGCTGAGTATTAGATCTGTTCATACTTTTTTTCGGCGGGTTCCATCATCAGGGAGAAGGGATAAGCCAACCATGCAACATGGCCCAAGTTGGGATCCAGCCATAAGATTAAAACAAACATCACTATATTCCTACAAGGTGGTGCCCCACCAGTTCTGTTTATCCAAATGGTGGAAAACTCATCATCCAAACCTTTGCAACATAATCAGTTTGACAAGATTTCAGAGGTATAGCTAGTAATGAGTAATAGCAACACGCAGCCGTTCGATAATGTAAACACCCACAGGCATCATTCGACTAATCAAGGATTTACCCATGGCTAAACGTAGATACAAGTCACAAAAAATGCATTTTCCAGCTGGAGTGTCTACCAGGCTTGCTCCAAACACCGCAGTGCTCTATGAGGGGGAATTTGGGTAAATATAGATTAAAATGATGAAATTACCTTACTGGTGGCTATCATTTATCTATAATGGATTGAACCCTGTCTAATCTGTCTGTTGTCCGATGAACACCGAAAACACATAAACCCAGCTTCACCTACCATTGACCAGTCTATTCAAACATTCACCAATGCTTGCTGTTTAAAGTTCCGTGAAAAATTCTCTGTCAATCTCAATTTGTGTTGCTTCAAACAAGAACTACCCTCTGGTAATTTAACATAGCCATAGCTATGGAAAATGGTGATTTATAGTGACATTTCCCATTAAACATGGTGATTTTCCATAGTTATGTTAGTTTACCAGAGGGTATATAGGATGATATCCCCATTGTCCAGAAACAAGAACTATGGGATGATGGATGATTATCTCCATTAACAATGCAACAAAACCACCATGGATTCTGGAAGAACCTCAGCAGAACTTCAGCCCAAAGAGCAGCCCGCCTTGGTGGCTTTCGGAAGACCAAGCTTGAGCCCAAAGACCTCGGTGGCGGCAAGGAACTGAACATCGTGGCCATGTCCTAAGTCATGGGGGTACCCCCAAATCATCCATGTTTTTTTTTGGATTTTCCATGATCTAAATAATCTAAACCATCCATCTCTTAGGATACCTTAATATGATATCCCTATGAACATATCTCTGTATGGACACAAAACCATTTGATCATATCTCGATAGAATGTAAACATGTGTGTATATATACTGTACATACAGATCTATTAATCCAATAGATTTAACTGATTGCAACATCCCATTAACCATCATATACATAGATCTATTTTCATTCAATAGATTTGGGGTGAATCCATGAAACATCATGAAACGCTGTTCATAAATCCCATCGTTGACCAAAAGTTAAGACCTGAGTATTTCTTTGTGGGATCTGAAATGTGGCGCCCTAAAGCCAATTGGTCTATAAATAATCTCTCTAGGCATTGTGGTGAGTTTATCAAACAACTGTTTTTTTACTGTAGCAGGGCGTATAAAGCAACTTATAACTGGGGGAGCACCACATTGTGGTGTGGCAATTTTTCAGGGTGTCAATAAGACATCCAGCGAGTCAGGGAACCGCAAAGGAAACCATATATCTTGTGCCAATCTTAGACATCCCATTCGCACTATCCTCCGGTAATTTAACATAGCTATTGAACATGGTAATTTATAGTGGATTTACCCATTAAACATGGTGATTTTCCAGTTACAGTATGTTAGTTGACCAGAGGGTATCCCATGTTCCCAAAGATCAGCATTCCATTGAAATCCGATTATATAATTAAAATTTAAAACCTGATAGTCCCTTCCAATACACAAAAAACTACCGTCAGCTCTGAAATCTGAGCTCTCCCAGCCATGACGCTCACACTTGACCTGCTTGCGCAAGAAAGGTGGTATATATGGTATATGCGTGTGTGTATATATATATATATAGGGTTGTATATTGCACAAGAAAAATGACATATATATAATATAATAATAATAAAAATAATAATTATTAATAATAATCAATAATAATCATAATATATATATATGATGCAATATACAATCCATGCTTAACCAACAATAATCATTTTCTTTGTTGGGGTCTATATGTGGGACAAGACTTAAATAGTCCTTTAATCAACATGATTCATCTACAGTGGGTCGATGTTTCACAAAGAAACGGGGATTTCACCGGCAATAAATGGCTTTGTAAAAGCCACTCTTAAATAGGGTATGATGATGGAAGAAATGATTATGTGTCACTCCAAAAAATACAGCTTGGTTAATCAGAATTCCCATAATGTATGATAATCATGATAATCCCCAATACGTTGGATAGTACAACTGCATAATGGTTAATCAACCAGCACGGGTTTAGCCACTGCTCATGTAAATACGCACATACCATGGAAGCTGGAACTTTGGCTTTTCCGTGGTTTCAGCTAAGTTTTTTAATTGCTGCTCTTGAGTGTCAAAATTGCATAGTGAAATAGATGGCTGAAGCGACCAAATAATCATGTATTAGACTAGATTGGAACTACAAGAAGGTGCCCCCCAATTATCAGCTGGGTAATATAAATCCTAAGTATGGTTACACACATATATATATACCTGGAAACATACTTAGTTAGAAAACAACTTTAGCTGTCTATGGGGCAGCATCTAATACTCATACTGGAACTACTGGTTACATCCCTGGTGTTTCTGCAACCAACAAGTTGATCAGTGTAGCTACCCCCTGGTAACATGGCAATTTGACATCCCCTATCAATGGAAGTTTTACTGGACAACTCATCCATAAACATCTATAAATGGAGGATGTTTTAACTGCCACGTTTGATTACCAGAATGTACTTTGTTGGTTGAATCAACTTGAAACTGGCTATTCTGATCTGGTTACGTCCAAGGATTACTGTATTACTGTCATTTATTAACAACGTTTAACAACCGGGTTGAACTACTCAGCGGCTTCTGCCCTAATGCAAAATGTATCTCACAAATGGGTGACAAAGATGCCCTGTAGAGTGGGAGTTGGCAACTCCAATCAAAAATCAAATGGCGAAAATGGCTGGTGCACCCCAGTTGGTGGGTTACAACCCCCAGTGAAGGTAGGGCAAGGGATAACCGAATGACCCCCTCGTGTGAACCATCAAGTACTAAACCAACCAATTTGGGGCAGGGGTCCATCGGTGCAGCATTGTGCATTCGGCAAGCCGACTAGCTAGGTGTCTTTGGAAGTTCAACCCGCTTCAATTTTTCCCTATTTAATGCCTGGTTGTCAAAAGAACACATTTGGATATACCAGAATAGGTCAAAATGAGTTACCCTCTGGTCATGACTAACAGTTTGTTGGATAAAATCAACATGTTTCATTGCAATAAGTGGCGGCCTACATATGGTAGATGGTATATTCATATACGGTGATTTATATGCTTAGATCTTATAAATCACCATGTATATATATACATATTATAATTTATAATATGTAAATGTTATATATTTCATTATCCTGGATATATTAAATTAAACATATAGGATAAACATTGATATTAACATGTTGGTCTATATATATATACATAATATATGTATATATTAGTATATATATATATGTGTATGTATATATATATATACATACTAATGTGCTAATACCAACATGTTTATTTTTTTCTATCAACAGGCCATCTTCGCTAGGTCCCCAGAGTCGACCCTGAACCTGTCCTCAAAAAAGCGAGAAATCGGTGATTTTTTCCATGGCCATCCCTTTACGAAAAAAGAACCACTTGCCATGTGCTCTGTTACATATATATGGTTACCCTCCAGTAAATTAACATAGACCCTGGCAGAAAACGGGGTTGGAAGACTAGTTTCCACTATCAATTGGTCATTTTCAGGGTCTATGTTAATTTACCAGGGGGTATATTATTCTACAATGAGATAATTATAGAACTATACTATATTATATATATATATATATATCGAACTTGGGTTTGACAATCATGTTGATAACTAATAGTCAGATAATCACCTATAAAACATTACTATCTTAGTTCAGTAATTCCCCCACTAATATTTTTTTTGGTTGGACAAGATTCATTGTTGGTTGACGTACCAACATTCCATATCCTCTTGTTAGAATATCCAATTATACCATATATCATTTAATATATCCCATTAACATCCCATTGTTATATCACATTATAGTAATCCAATCATCCACTATCAATCAAACCAAAAAAACCGATCAAGTTTCCAAATCCCACAAATAATGATCATACAGACACTATCTATATATATACATACATATGCCATTACTATCCCATTGCAAGCTTGCTCAAAAAAACACCCCACGTATGACGGAAAATTGGTAGACAGAGAAATAGATAAAGCATACAATGAGATCCTACTTTATCTTTATGGCTAGATATATATATGTATATATATATATATATATATATCAATTTATATCCCACTAATCTGAGATCTATCCACTATATCTATCTACTATATCTATCTACTATATCTATCTACTATATATATCTATCTACTATATCTATCTACTATATCTATCTACTATATCTATCTTAGATCCTACAGTATCTATCCTTATAGTACAAACACCCTGTATTATATCCCACTTTGGACCCATACCCAACTGCCATCACCACCCACGTCCCATCCCCATATGCGCCCAGCAGCCATCAGTGCATCGGTGTGCAGGGGCCATTCGAGATTTTCCACGGCAGACGCCGCTGAACCAAAATCCAGGTGGAAGGTGTCTTGGGGTGCACCAAAAGTGGTTTTGATTCACCTGGGTTGGAGAAACCTTGAAAAAAAAGGAATATAGTGGAAAATAGATGAAACTACTAGGTAATATATATCTATATATATATATATGTATAATTGTAAATAAATAAATAAATAAATAAATATATATATATATATGTATATTTAATTATATATATACATATGTTGATAGATAGATCGATTGATCGATTGATTGATAGATAACTAATAAAAATCGACGAAGATTGACGGTGACAACTGGTGCAGGATCTCAGCGTTTTCTGAACCGAGGCGAGCACATCCACCATGAATGACCGCACGCCCTGCTTGAAACGCCTTCCTTTCATAGCTGAAACTCCGCCCGCGGACCACAAACAGCAACTGAACAAGACATCCATGGTGGAGCACGGTGCGACACGGTGCCTTGGTGGTTTCATTGCCAATCTTACAATCTTAGATACCTTGCGAAAGATTAAACTGTCAGCCGGTTCGTAGACATTCCTATTCATAGCCAAAGATGCCAAAGATTGAAGGATGAAAGTATCCAAGTTTGATCCAGGTTCAACAAACACCAACAGGTGGGGGGTCAACCGGTCAACCAGCAAACCATGAAGGTCCAGTATGGAAATTTATCCATTTCTCACCTCGGTGCTTCATCGTTTTGTGGTTTTGTGGGAAAGATATCTTGTTTTTTAGCACAACGTTTTGCTAAAAACGGCTAAATGTGTAGCAAAAATGGGACTGTTCCCAACACCCCGTTCCCACCTTTTTTTGGAGGGGAAACGGGGTCCTTTCCGAATGTGGCTATGATTTAGCTTGGAACAAGCCGCCATTGAGATACGAGAGATATGACACTTGGGATAAGTTGTGCCCGTTTTTTGGTTGAAATATCACCAGCACAAGTGCAGAAAACGTTGCCATTTAAGGTAACATATTCTACAACCTCAATTCAACAAGACAGAAGAAAAAAAAGCCCATCTGATGACTTGATGTTCCACAGTTCTGGCATTGTGAGATTCTTTCGCTTTACGTGAATAAAACCATCCTATGAAAAGCCAAAAAATCCAAGCTCTTTTGGATCAAATCAGATACACCAGTGACCTGCATCATTCCTAGGGTCTTAAAAGGTCCCCAATGGGTCGAGCTGGCTTATGAAGCCTACCATAACAACCAGAAAATACCATAACAACCATATCTATGATAGGGTAATATCTATGAACC